TATCTAAGTTTATGACCTCACTATTTACAGATTGTTGATCGTTGGAACCAATGTTTTTTCCTTTATCTGAGAAGTTGGCTAACGAGCAGGCGGTTCTCCTGGTGTTTAGGGATTAACGCCGTCCATGTACATCAAGAACACATAGAAATGCGTTGCTAACATTAAAAAAGTGGGCACCAGTTATCTCACTTACCAGACGAAACGTGAAATTATACATACGTCCACTTCACGTCGGTCTTCTGTGAGGCCGTGGTACTTCCCCGGACGAGCCTGCCCATTCGTACTATAGCCTCAGCTGCTGCGTGGCTCTACCACATTGTTTGTTTAGAGCAATGGTTCCATTCTTTTTCTTCTGCTTCTTGGAACGCATTTCTTACTTATATTACGCTTCAGGGCTTGTAAATCGCCAATCTCTCAAAGTCGCAAAGTTGGTGGCTAGGGCTGTATGATGGGTACATCATCAATTCCACGCTCGTCCTTTTAGCGTGTCATATTGGTGAAGGACTACTTTTTTTCAAGAAGAAGTTTTTCTGACAAATTACTTGTACTTTTTGTGACTTACAGCACAATCTAGGAACACAGTCATTTCTAGATTTTCCTTAAATAAAAATCAAAAATTTCACAAGTTTAATTCGTTGTAAAAGCGTCAAACAATTTTTAAAGAACGATATAATGAAATAAAAACATGTATGTCTAGTCGTATACGCACGTCAGAAATTATACTTCTTTAACGTAACATAAGAAAATAATTTAAGTAATTATCCCCTGTAACGGTTTCATTAAATAGCTTGGAATTAAAGATAAACGTTATTGCTGAAGTTGGTCGCTATGCAACCAGCCAAAAAAGGATAACTTCAAAAATATCTCGTTATTCAAAAGTAATAAATTTTCCCAGATTCCTATTTTCGAAATCCGTTGTTGATATAAATTAATAAAATTTATATAGAGTTCTGTTGTTTTTTTTTAAATGAAACAGTTTTCCAGAAACTTAGCCCCACGTATAAGGCTTCTTATGCATCATTGCTGTTCTTGTTCGTATGACTCTTTACATGTTCTCATAATTCTTTAGGATCATGTGATTTCCCCGTAGTTTTTATATGCGCTCCTTAGTTATGATTGCAACATCTATTTTTCAATAGTGCCTCGTGAGGAACTGGGCATAGATCCAGCTTCGCCCGCCAATATTACCCAAAGCACATGAGCTCACACATGATTGCGAATAAACTAGAGCGATAGTGATTTACTATAATGAATCAGTTTCCAAGATCGTAAATCATTCCGTTTGTGTGACAGTACAATGTCTCATTATTCTAAATATAACGTATTGTTTTTGATCGATTACCTAACTAGCCAAATATATAATTTGAATGCTATACTATGCTTTGATCAGTTTTTTTGGTTTTATAAATAAATATATAAATAAATTAAACAAATTACACTGACTTTAAATAATATTGATTGGGCACTACACATTAAGAGAAAATAAAAATTACTTAAGTTTGAAAATGGTGAAATATATCTATTTACAACGTGTAGAATTCATTAGTCCGAAATCATTCAATTACCATAGGAATTGTAGCTTCTTAGCCATATTATTGTAAACATTAATAATTTATATTAAAACAGATCTAAATAGGAATTCAATACAACATTAATATGTGAAATACAACGCATACAGGTTGACCGCAGATCTAAGGTTGGTGTATCTATATACCGCAAGTAATGTTTTCAAGAGCATTACCAACAATTGAATATAGCTACTATTTAAAAATAGATTTATTATGATGTTTCCTCACCATTTATTTCATTCACCATTTATTCTCAAACTGACTGTTAATACACAAGGTCTGATTTCATTTTGATTTCAAACATTGTAAAGTAATTTGTAATTTTAAGATGAACAAAATTAAAAATGCGATAAAAAGATAAATCAGTACAATTTTCAAACATTTATTGCTTGACTAAGCATATCCTGAAAGGTCTCAACCACCCCAACACATAGGTACGCTCTTCTTGGTATCGTTCAACAAGATCTGGCAATGGTTCGCGTTACAAACTTTAACCACTACAAGAGTCAATTTGCTCTCTCACAGCTGGCATTCTATAAGGTTTCTGACCAACCTTTGAGAAAAGAAGGTTAAATACCTGGAGGCTACTTTCGACTCCAGAATGCCATTGAATCACTCAACTCACATCTAAAACGTTGTGAAAAAGGCCGCGTTCTTATACGGTCAATTCTATAATTTAACAAACCCATTTAGCAAAATGCCCTTAAGGGATAAACTTTTGCTATACTAGACTTTTGTATCTCCAATATTTCCTTCGCTTGAACAGTTTTTGCTCACATCCATCCTAAGTGCCGTTACGAACTTTATTCGAAATAAGTTTACCTGCCTTGCGATCAGTGTAGCGTTAACTACTCGAACACTTTAAAGGTTAACCCTTTCCAACAAGAAGATAAACTCCGTGAATAACTAACCCGACATAAACTTAATCAATTACAAACGTCACTCGCACAACGTCACAACAAGGCGTAAGTCGGATCCAACGGACGCCCCATACGACGTCACTAAATCAAACACAGTGCTAGCAAACAAGACCAAATGTTTGGTGCGTGCCTACGAGCACGGCGAAACCAACACATGGCGTCAATAAGATATATCGACTTTCAGGTTGGTTCACAACACTCCCAGCCAACGATTAATTCAGTCAACGGCTATGTCCATACTCCATCTCGATAGACTATAGGTAACATTTCTCCCCATAGATAACACATGTATGACCATGTGGGTCCCTACGCAACGCAGAGGGCGTATCAAACTCCAGGGATTTAACTATGTCACGAGTACTGCCTTCGTTGAAGCTTTAATAATCTAAGGACTGAAAGCAAAAATATCAATCATATATAAAGTATCATTTTGTTCATGGACAATTTAAAAAACTCAACAAAAAAGATTAAGCAGCAAAAAAACGTTTTGGTTAAAGTTTGGATTAATAAACGCTGATTTCTAATCGACAACAAAGCTATTGAAAACAATATTAACACCACAATCTTTATACCGTATTTAATGATGATGAATAATAATATTTTTTCACTCCCATCTACGGAAATAATAGAACCAATTTAACGGGTTACGTTCTCTTAAAGTCAAAAATCTTTTAACCTTTGTTATGATTACTTGCAGGATTCGAATCCATTATCTAATGTCCTTAACAACTAACTTGGCAGTGCTTTCCAATTTTTCTTAGATAATTCAAAACATGTTCTATCGAATTTGAATCTAACAAGCTAGAAACTACTCCAAAGTTTTAATTACTACATTCTTTAGATGCCTTAAAACTATCTCTGCAGCGTGGGGTCGAGTATTATTATCATACATTGGAAGAAAATTGTCCCGCATGTATCATTTGGAGCAAGGGTCAAAATCTGTTACATAACTTGCCCTTACCAAAAATTCCTATATAACACAATCGGTAACTTCGTAAAGCCCCTATGCAAATGCTACCCCATACTAACCCTTCAATATAAAACTCCCCTGAAAAAATTAAACTAAGCGCGACTATTTGCATATTTTGACTCTTTAATCATCTGGCAAACGTATCACAAAATCAGGAATCATCAGTGAATAATACCTTACTCCAGTCAATATCATTATAGTTTCGACTTTTTTTTTTCGTTTTATAGTTGTGACACGTATGGTACCTATGTGAAGAGTATCACTTGGTGCACGCATCTACTGGATGTTAGTACTGACAGTACTATTATCTGCCTAATTATTAATCTAGAACTATGAAAACATTGATAGCGTCATTTATCACAACTGTGATTTAACCGTAACCTGTAATTATGTTTCATTTGATCTAATTTGGATCTATTGCGCTAAATACTGGGCTGAAATGTTAATTTATGGCATTCAGTTCATAGTTTTAAAATATCGTATTTACTCGCAACGATACAACCAGTGACTATGATTTTACCGATGACGCCAGACCGTTTAGCATGCCAGAACTCTCAATACCTTTTGTTTAACAAAGCGTTATTAAACACTTGAAGTTTATAGATTAACATACTTTATGGCTCGGAGTATACGATATGGATCTTGGATTTAGGTCTCATTGTTTTTGAATAACTCAAGAACAATGAGATGTGTTGAATAAAAATACTTTTGCTATCTTTTCATTTTCAAAATGTTCGTAACACTTTTTTTTTTCAAAACCGAAACGACTTCTTTCACATTCAGTTTGCGATATGAAGATACTATGGATATAAAAAACAAATAATATTAATATCTATTATATTAATATATAAACATCAATATTAAAACTATGATTTCAATCACTTTTTATTAATGACATAATTCCGTACAATATTACTTTCTATACATACAACATAATGTTCTCCCTCGTTGAAAATTTTCCCTAAATGTATCAAGCTAAAATTTTATGAACTCAGATCGATGTAATGTATTTGTATCTAATGTATTATTGTAAATTGCAGATGTGTTTTGATTACAAATAAAGATTATTGTTATTATTTTTTATGACCCGAAAAGGAATATTTAAATCAACCTTAACGTTTTAAGATATAGAGAAAAAACAAAAGCAAAACTTATAATTACGTCTTAATGTAGTTTTTTTTTAAATCCATCGCCATTAGCTAGTTTGCAAAAATTAGTGCAACATCTAAGTGATTTTTCTCATAGTCTTTTAAGCGCTTTTAACATATACGCTAGTCTTTTTTAATCTAGCCGCTTCTGATGTAGGTGTACTGTTAAGATGATATAAAACAGTGAATTCCTCGTTATTTTACGGATTTTATCGAGTTTTCATTTGATTTTAAATTTACCGAAGTTTAGAACACTTTCCAGCGCTCACGATCACTGTCCCGTGAAATGTAAAACACGATAAAATCCGCAAAATAGTTTCATTTAACCAAAACTTTGTGATGTTCATTTTGAACGCGGAGAATTTCTCATTAATCACGGCGTTTTTGTCCACAGCCACGGCGAAGACTTGATTGTGACGCCATTCGCGCAAGTCCTGGCGAGTCTGCGCAGCGTTCGCAACAACTTCTTATCTCTCACCAATGTCCCGGTCGCAAAGTAAGTAGTTTCTACTGAAACATTGTTTTTTTTTTTCATGTTAATAATATGCACATCTACGTAATATTTTTGACTTCAAATATTAACGTTCAAAAAGAATGAAGGTGACCAAAATAATTTAATTTAGTTCATCAACTGCCCGTGTATGTTAATTATACTAATAAAATTATTACATATTAGAAATAATAAAGTTAATAATAGAATACAATTAATAAATAGCTCCAGTAACAAAACTATGAATCATCCTTTAAATAGTTCGCAGTTGAATTCGGAATAACGTTCGAATTAATGGAGCTTATATCATGTATGTACTTATAACGAGTACGCCTGTTTATCTCCCGCGTTACTGTTGGAGTATCAGTAGCATATCGTTATCGTTTAAAGTTAAACAAAACGCTATACATACGAACTAATACACATATTTTATGTAGTTGACCCATTCAAAACTTTTATGAACTTTTACGATGACGTACGGCGTGTCGATTTAGAATTAAGCTTTTAAAATTAAGTAAAAAAATATCAAACTTTATTTGAAAAATACACTTAAAGCGACTATTTTACTGCTAACCTAAATTGTTATACGTACCTACTTGTATATTTTATTTTTGATGGCTATATGTTGTCAGATGAGCCTTTGTTTTAAACTTTAATTTGTGCTTCATTTCCTTGTTACTCGTAAATTTCTTCAAAATGAACGGAAGATCTGACAAAGAGAAAAAGACAGAAATACGGTGGTAGGGCCACGCAGCAGCCTCGGCTGTTGCACGAATGGGCAGGCCCGTCCGGGTAAGTACCACGACCTCACAGAAGACCAGCGTAAAGTAGAAGTGTTACACTTCTGCGTTTCGTCTGGTGAGTGAGGTAGCCGAGGCCCAATTTTCAAAAGGTTGTCAACACACCTGTAACCCTTGGATGTAGCAGATTTCCATGCGTGGCGGTATTCACTTACCATCAGGTGAACCGTCTGCTCGTTTGGCAACTTTTCACATTAAAAAAAAAATAATAAAATGATGATGATTTTTACATTAAATTCTTAATTGAAAAACACTATTATACAAACTCAGCCTTATCAAAACTCAGGGTAATACTAAAGGTAATACACAATACTGTGCAATAGGAGTATTTCTGTTTTGTTTAAAAATATAAGCAAGAAAATACGCAAATGTCATAAATGTAATAAAATTAAAACACAGTCCTTGACAAATACTACAGGGCTTTTTTTCACAATATTATAATTTGGGCTACTTCGACGTGTTAATAAAACCATTGAACAAATATGACGTTGAATATAGCTGTAAATTAAAATAGTAATTTTACACCGCGCTAATTTAATGTACCAATAGTTTCGTATGGGTATTTATTTTATCAAAAGTTAATATCAATCTGATCCAATACTATTATACATATCTTCTAATGAATATCACGCACGAAACGACATTTGCGATTAATAATGACATTAGTGTCAAAGACTTTTAGATGCAGTAAATTTTAGCATGGTATTGTTTATTAAAAACAACAGCTCTTTCATGCTCACCGTTCAAAATTTTCATTTAGTTCCTAAATGACGATGAACTTTTCTACTAAACTTTTAACAAATATGTTTTTAACAAACTTCAAGATATCTCCAAAGAATATCTGTTATAACTATATCGCGGTATGTGCGTGCTTCACAATTTCCGCATTAACGGCGTCGCATACGTCACGACTACGTCAGACTCTGACCTGAGAAAGAACATTGTTCATAACCTATTATGCATTGCGGTTTCATTTTATAACCAACAACCGGTTTACTAATGCTTCGCTTAGAAGTGATAATAAATGTTATATGTAGTTAGTGATGACTAGTTATAACACAATTATTCATAGATAAGTTTCTAAAGACATCAGTTGGTTTGTATATTGAAATCCGATGAAGACATTCATAAAATTTGTTTTATGCACTTCTTTTGATATGGTTGACAGTTATTGAAAAATTATTCGAACATTATTCGACATTTAATTCGAAGTTAAAGGCCCGTTTCTTATGACGAAAACTCCGAAAACTCTCACCCTGAATAATGGATGTATATAATTTCAATACTGTCTGTTAGTGTGATAGTTTCGTGTTCAGAAAAGAAAATAGACAAATTGGTTGCAAAAAATTTATTGCTAGATCGACGCTCATGCAACATAATTTGTGGTAACATAATTTATTGTTTTCCTTTGAAAAAATTCAAACAAATCGGTGCTGCCAAGGAATTTAGACGCTCGCGTGGGTGGGCGCTGCTCTTTCTCTGTTTATTTACATCGTGGTTCATTCACAATTTATACATTCTCCTCAAAACTCGATCCGGCCAATCGCGAGATCGATCGGGCTTAATGTCACAGAAAGTGCAACTCTAATTGATAGTAGGCAGCCGCATGCAGAACAAAGTGTAATGCGTCGCGAAAGGTCACTGATGACGTCAGTTACGGAAACTGCTCCGATGTTTCATATAAAAGAGAATTGTATATTCAAAGGAATAAAATAACACTTCTTGTCTAAAACGGTCGAAGTATTTCATAACGCTGAAGCAATAAAGGAACCAGAACAAACACTGCATATTGCAGTCTATAAATTACATACGTACGAATTAGAACAGCAACACTAGTTTAAAACCCTAAAATTGAAATGGTTTTTTTTCTAATGTCACTAAGACAGAATGAATGTCATGAAAGTCATGAATCTAACCTAACATGGTATATGTTACGACCTTTTTATATTTAATCGAATTGTGATTATCTGATGGATAAAATTCTCGTGTCACGGTGTTTGTAATTGAACTCCTCCGAAACGGCTCGACCGATTTTCGCGTTTTTTATCCCCGTAAATGTTAAGTAAGGGTGGTCCACCCAAAACATTTTTTTCTACCCTACAAATAATTTATATGACAAAACAACGTTTGTCGGGTCAGCTAGTAATAAATATAAACAAAATCTTAAACAAATTAGTAATATAAAACAAGAAGACACCTCGAGATATTCTGCTAATTACGAATGTAAATATAAAGATATTTGGTAAATAGTTGAATTATCAGGAAACATTCAATAAAATTATGACCAGTTTATTACATTTCAGCTTAATTAATTTGGTTTCGCTAAAAATATGTGTCTATTTATCGTAGTTAGCCACAAAATTAACAATTCCTTCTATTGCTATGCAATTGTTTCTGTGAAAGTTGCCATATTTATGCCACGTGTCACATGTTGCTCACTTTTCAATGATTTTACTTTTATTTCACTTTCATCGAACATAATAAATAACAAAAATTAATGTTTTCAAAATCCTTTTACATTTTCACAAACTAATATCGTAATGTTCATAATTTCATAAAAATATATCTAGTTCAATGAAATACCTTGGAGAGTAATTTTAGTTACCTAAATACGATAGGGCCGTTTAAGAAATTTATTCAACGTTTACGTAATCCCAGAATTAAATACTTTTTGATTTATTGCACTACTTTTTATCTAAGTCCGTTGTAATTAGGAGGACATAAGCGCATAGAAATATCATACTAATTTTTATTTAATTTCATAAAATCCGGCTTAGGCGTCTCTCTGGCTCATTTTACTTTATATAAATATCTTTATTCAGAATCGATAACAAGAAAATTCCCTGTAGGTACGTCTCACCTCTCGCCCACGTAGAAATCGTGAAAAAGATGTTTTGAAATGAATGGAAAATATACCCCGCGATAAGATAAAAGCTTTTCAAATCAAATATTACTTTTATTTCACTGGAGCTTTCCAATTTAGCAGAAGATTTTACCTTAAGCCTTATTTGTATGTATCGTAAACTGTTAACACATTATAGTTTTGTATTGTTCTGTTCACTCGATTGGCGTGGTGTTAAGTTCCGTCTACTGCCATAGGTTGTTTTTTTTTTTTTGGTGGTTTTGGTTGTGTTGGTTCTATCTGCACCATTAATAATTAGAGAACTAGAAAAACCATATGTCAATCATTAAATAATGTTTTATTGATTGAGCTGGTGTTTATATATTTTAATATGAGCCGTGATAGCTCAGTGTCCGGGCCCTCCGGGCGCTCGTATTTAATTCAATGTACTCGAGCAACCTGAATTCGATCCCCGGTGCGGGCACCATTGAAATTGTTAATTTTAAGTGCTGTATTATCACGTGCTCAGCGAAGGCGAAAAAAAACATTGTGAGGAAACCTGCATATTTTCGAAATAATAATAAAAAAATATTTCGATATAAAATAAAAATATTTCGCCAATCCGCAGTGAGACCGCGTGTTGGACTATGTCCTCTGTACAGAGTTGCCTCTGTACAGAGGAGGCCTTTGCCCAGCAGTGAAACATGTATAGGCTGACACTTTACTTTATATAATATGTATTTATAAACGTTGTACCCAGACTTCTCACGAATAACTAATTACTAAAAAAGAATCTGTTGATCCGATCTCTACCAAACTTCACAGGATCATCCGATACTGCTGGTCTAGTCTGAAGATTATCTGAAAATTTCATTACAACTTGTCCAGCCCTTTTGGACTCTTTATTGAACACATCGATTTTTATATGCATAGATTTTCATATAGATCTTACAAGCTTGTTTATTGGTAATAAATAAAGTTGAGTAAAAATATGTTCAATAATATTATTCACAAGCGTGTTTGGTTCATAATATTTATATTTATAATTATTAGACAATAATATTTTTTGTAGTTTACATTAAACATTTATAGTTTTAGAACATCCTGCCATACAACGGTCTCCAAATACAGTAATGGAAACGCGCTTTTCGAAACCATTCCTTATTATTCTCATTCGTAAGTTGTTACTAAAACCCATTTAACTTACGTTTAAACATACGTTTCCAGATGGATATGATTCTACATCACTAAAGGCAATAATAATATATTTAGGCGGTTTCGAATATTTTTTTATGATTTCCCTATATTAAATAAATTACGTAGCATTCATTAATCTATAAGTATAATTATTTTTTTACAATTTATCTTCTTCTTCTTCACGAAATATTATTAATCGTTGAGTTATATCCCTAGTAGTTTAATTGTCTTCTTGATGTCGTTTCAGATCGCGGAGGTCTTCGGGAGCAGCGACAGCTGTTACACCCCAACCAAAAAACTTTAATCCTGGAGGTAAGAATACGATGTATTATTTTCTGATTGAAAACATAATGCTTACTTAAAAATATGCATACTTTATAATGCATACTATCAAATATTTTGAGTGTGTTAAATAGAGAGATGTTTAAAAGTAGTTATTTTCTTAAAGTTCAACTAGAATGAAAATTTTAGTCACATAAATAAATCGCGTTTTTAAAAAAAACTAAGAGTATTAACACCAAAACCAGATCCAAAAGAAGAAAATTTTACAAACATTACATTTGTCTGAATAAAAAAAAAACAACTTCAAGTTTGTTTCAAATCCCAAATCAATTTAAAAGCCATTAAACCTTTTTTTGTAAATCGATGAAAATATTAAAATATTGTAACAATTTTCGTATTCACACATTCATACGGCATTGTTCTTGATAGTATTTTGCAATCTGTATATATCAGCTTAGGCTTTGCAGATAACTTTTCCACAAATCTGTAGCAATGTAAACGATATAATCGAGTCGCTTCGTGCAATCAATCATCTGAAAAAGATATTTCGTATTATTTATCAATAAATTGCTTTCGAGTGGCTAAATATGATGAATCGTGGTAATTGAAATAATTAAATTCAATAATCTAATATACGTACATAAGTTATCATATTGAAACGCGTTTCAAGACTGCGGTGTAGCGACAAACACTCTTTCTGCATAATGTTAACGGTGCACGAGATGCTATAAATGTATTACAACAAACATAATACTCCTTGTGTTATTTCAAACCATCTTTTATAAATTCTCGAAACTCGAAGTGAAATGTCGCATGTCGCATGTTCGATGCGTTTTCAACTTGGAGAAGTGGAAAAGCGCAGTTTCCATTCGAAGAAGTGGAACCCGCGCCCGTACGCAAAAAGTAGGACGTGAGACACTGATTGCTTAATTTATCGTTTGTCGCCTTAACGTACGTGTTTCCCAACTTATATGTTAACTTTTAACTCAACCCTTAGTTAGCTTAATTTTTAATTTAGCCGTTAATTGCCTTAATTTTTAACTTAATTAGCTTAATTAGCTTAAGTCTTAGCCGTTATGTACACTTGCTTGGTTTTTGAATTTTCTATTAGAAGTATGGGGTATACTATCTCTACTATCAAATCTAAGAAATACAATCTAATAAATTATAACAAATATAATATTTATCTTGTGTGCTATGTACTATAGCACTCAAGATAAATATTATTTTAGTTTTTATAAAAAGTGTGTGCGTACTTTTGTACCTACACGTGTTAGAAGTTACAGTGCTTTGGCGTAACAAGACAAAAATCCTCACCAAAATTTTATCTTTCGCCTTATTCTACGTTTGTGGAAAAAACGACACTAACAATAAAAAAAGGTATTTATTACAATGAAAGTTTTATTATAACGCATTATCTAGTTAAATAAAGTTTATTTAAATATCACATAATAAATATCTTGAATACAGTTGTCAGTTCTCACGCAAACATACGTAGATGTCTAGCTAACTTCAGGGTGTTGGTGTTTCGTAACGGTGTGCGCGCGCTTCGTAAAAATTTACTCTCATTTGATTTTCCCTAACACGCCGAAAGAAGTATAACTTTAAAAGTACGAAAAGTTTCGATGCGGGAATCGAACCCACCTCTTTCAGATTCGCTTCCAGACGCTTAACCACTAAGCTAAACGTCTGATTACCACATCGACAAAAACCTCAACGTATTTTAATATATTATTTTAATGTCTCGTCTTAAGTGCAGAGATTAGCACTATAAAAATTTAAATTTCTTTAGATGGTCAAGAGCCATTCTAATCCCTCTCAAACTATCGCCTGAGATACTTTCGGATTAGTGTCGAACATGAATTGCTCCTAGAGCTGTGTGGCTCCTATAAGTGCGTGGCTCTACCAACTATGTACAGATATCATGTCAATAAGGTTACGTAATGACGTTTCTAATGAGGAACCACACGATAGCGTACCGTCAATTTCAAAATCATGTGTATCCGATTATAGGCTCATCCAGTCAACCCTGAGAATAGTAAAAATTTGACGTAGGCGCAAAACAAAATCCAAAATTTTATTTAAAAAAAAAGAAAAGCGCAGAAATACGTACTATAAACTATTAAATACATGTATAGTCCAATAACTACATAAACAAGAATTATAGGAAACATAAAAATAATTTTTGGAATATTTTTTCGCGCTTAACTTGAAAACTACATATGGGCTTTGTTTCATTTCAATCGGTTCACTCGAAGGGCAGATATGGGAGTTCTAAGATTCAAGCAGTGCAGCGGCACACAGTTATCACAGTTAGCCAACTACTTGAATATTTTTTGGTGTTTTTGAAAGTATTGAAGATTAATTCTGTACAACATTAAAGCTTTGTTTCATTGCAATCGGTTCACTCCAACAGAAGATATGGTAAGGCACCTGTGGTTTTTAAGAACTCACAAACCACAAGATCGATTTCCACAGGGTTTTTGACAGCGTGTCAGTATAACTTCCTTTCAATATTTAAGTTTCATTTGATCGATCGCAATCGGTTTAATCAAACATAAGATATACTTTATAAACTACTGAATCAATTGGAACAGTTTTTAATTTTTTCTAATGACAGCTCCCAATACAAAAAAATTACTTTCACTTCACAAAATGTGCTATCAGCGATAAAATATTAACTACAATAACGTGAGTTTTCAGTTTCATAATAATAAAAGTTTTATTAAACGAATTCTTAAATTGATAGAATTAACTTAATATAACATAGAATTAACTTTAAATAACGAGCATGCCCGTCCGGGTAAGTACCACGATCTCACAGAAGACTAACGTAAAGTGGAAGTATGACAAATATTTTCGCGTTTCGTCTGGTGAGTGAGGTAGCCGGAGCCCAATTTTCAAAAGGTTGTCAACGCATCTGTAACTCTCGGGTGTAGCAGCGGGGTATTCACTTAACATCAGGTAACCCTTCTGCTCGTTTGGCAACTTTTCGCATTAAAAAAAATTAAAGTCCAGCGTAGGTAAATAACGGATAAGAAATTAGTTCCCGTGCAAAACCTACGTGGGGTTGTTAAATTCCTAAAATGCGCTATAAACACATTTTCACAAGCTAACTATGGGACAAGCGCCGACCATTTGCATTTTAATAATAATAATGCGAATTTGTTGAATTGAGATTTACGATAGGTATGATTTGAGTTTTGCTCGGTATACGGATGCTCCTGATTTTGCTTTGCGATTTGGTTAGTTGTTAGGGACATTGGTGAATTTCCCTGTAGGCCGAGAACGCCCGGGCTAAATGTAAGGAGCTGCAAATTAGTGGGATTTTTTTAGTATCTCGCTCGTCTTCCGTCTCTCACTTCTCTGCGTAGGCGATATTCTATAAAAATTATAATAAATCAAGCGGGCCTGATAAGTAGGTACCATGCTTCGGCTCCATCATGGAGCCGAAGCATGGTATCATATAATAACTTTCTTTGTTTTTTAGTATAATTTTAATTTACTTCATTTAATTTTTTGTGCTTTCTAGCGAGTAGGGGGCGGCAATCTTTAATTTGCCTAGGGCGACCAGAGGATTAAATGCCACTGTTTAAGAATATAAATAAGAAATTGATTCGGTTAAGCTAGGATATTCGGATAGTACTGATATTGCTTTGTGTTTCATTAATTTCTCACTGATTACGTTTGATAACTGTGTTTGTTATTTGTCACTGATCAATTACAAAAAAAAATATCATGTTATTTTTGGATATTTTTTCTGTAATAGTAACTTATTTTTTAATATTTTCTAAAAAATTGAACTTTCGTAAAAAAATAGATTAGATTTAAGACGTTTTAGCATTTATTAAAAAATGCCTCGATAGAATTAAAAAGAATGAGAACGATTGGATACCAAAAACCTAATGACGAAAATCGAATACCACTTATTGCTGATAGGGAACGACATTCATTATCTCGCAAATTGGAGTCAGTTATAGGTTATAGACATTAAAATTAAGTAAAAAAGTAAACTGAGACTGAATTTTGACTGAGCGCCCGTAGAGGTCGATGACAATACATACGCCTAGATGAAAGGCCAATGGGGAAAGTCACGGTTGTTTTTTCTGGAGATTTTTCAAACCCATTACTCAGGGAGGGAGGGACTCAAGATTTTGTTTCAGAAAGTGAAGTGTACGTGTAAGTTTCAGGATTAATAAATAAGGTAATTTATAACTTTATTTTAGCAACACAAAGATGACTCCCCGGATATTTTTCTTACGGAATTTTTGTCCCGCATGCATAGACAAGGTTTTCCGATAGATGTCAAAACAATTTTTTTAGATTAAGTAGACATTAAGATTTTGCTGATAGAACGTTTAAATGTTTGCATAAATGTCCGTTGCTTGGTAGAGCACACCAAATGATGTTAAGTCCACCATTGTAAAGCGCAAAAAGTTTTTAAATAAATAATTAACTATATACGCCATAACAGACCACTATTGTTGTATTATGATGTTTTCTTTTTAATATCTGTTTTCTTTTTCTTATCTTACCTGGATTCTTCTTTTCTCACCAAAAAAAAATTCCACTTAGACCTCCGCAAAGGCCACACTTTACTGTTCAGTACTTTGGAGATAATAATAAAAAAAAATTGTTAATAATTGAAAAAGTATTCCACTATAATTACATTGTTGTCAATTATTGTTTATAAATAGAAGTACAGAAAACGTCGTTGATCATTATCATATACAGTGGGTTTAGGGATTTTTTATCCATACACAGGTAGTCGTATGAAATTCCGTTAAGTGCAAAATAAACACACCATGCCATAAAGTAAATTAACGCGTCATGTTTATCTTGATAGGTTTACGGCTTTGTTAACGACTGAAGCAGGGTTGAATTACATCTCGCATTTGTTTAGGGTGCTGAATCAATAAGTTGGCAGAAGATTTAGAAACTAAATAAACAGTCTAGTTGTGATTAAAGAATTTAATTACGGTGGTTCTTTCTAAAGCTTCGTAGTACATCATTCCTTTTAAAACACTTTT